CCCACCCCCTCGTGTGCCCTGCCGGCATTCATAACAGCACTTGCCCCAACAGTCTGTTCATGTCTATACGGAAGATCTTTGCCGGTTTTTTTTGTGTTGCAAAAGACGATTGCCTACGAGTTTGCTGTAGATACAATTCAAGGAGTCGATCATCTCCTATGAATAATCACGGCGATACATTCCGCTGCTCCTCACGCGATTATCTGTGGCTTGACCACCTGGATGTGAAATTGTGGTCGTTGCTCTGCATCTACATCAGCAGCCGAACAGCAAGAAGATTGATTACAGAAACCCGAGATGTGGTGAGCGCTGTTTAACGTCGCTCTCTGTTCATTGCCTTATTTGGGAACACCGCTGAGAAACTGTGCTCTAATTACCTAAAACGAGATAAGGCTTTCAAGACTCTGCCCGAGTGTTAAGGTCATCGAGTGCAAACGATAATACTGTACAGGCTGGTCCAGATGTCTCGTGACCCCCGTTTGATTTTCTACAACTCAACATTTTTTAACGGTTTATTGAAAACATTAGCGGAACAGCGATGCAAGCGTATAACCAAATCAACCAAGCTGTACTCGATTCATATTCTTGGTTCTTTCGGTAAAGTCACGTAGAACGGAAACAATAAAATAAAAAATATTAAACAATAAAATCCTCACGACGTTTCAACTGGAACACAAGCAATCATCATCAGGTGTGAAAACCACAGCAAGAAAAATTGAAAAAAGTGGCGGATTTTTAACGTTAGCACCACGGAGAGCGATTTGGCAGTTATTCAGATGGACGAGTCCATCTATGTTCGGAAAAGAGGGGGGAGACGAAAATAATGGATGTGGTCTGAAAGCCACCGTAAGCGTGAATAATCAATTAAGACCCGAAATGGTGTATCAAATCCTTCCAATGATTGCTAAACCAGAATCCATCTTCTCGGTTGAAATTGTCTCTGTGTTTGTATATGTGGATAGCCTCATGAACGAATCTCTCATGGTAGCCAGATGGCTTGCAAAGAACCTCTGTCTTGGAGAAGTAAATGTCATGTGAGCCTACTGAATTATAACAGGGATCTGCCACGGCCGAGGTGTTGGTCCTACCGTGTTTTAGGTCTGCTTTGTGTTCACGGATGCGGTCCGAGACATGTCGTTTGGTTTCTCCAATGTAACTATTACCACAGAGGCAACTTAGTTTGTAGACACCAGGGTACTGTATGTCCAGAATCACATCTTTGACAGACGGAACTAGATCACGGATTTTATGTAATGTGTTCAATCGGACCTGGATCTTGTGTTTATTCAAGATTTTGGAGATCTTTTTTGTGATCCCCGCAATGTAGGGGAAAGTGATGGTTTTGAATGGCTCAAGAGGGTCCTTCTTCATGGTTGGAGTGATAGCTTTGCGGATTGTGTAGTTGGAGTAACCATTAGCCTTAAGAGCTTGGTGTACGTGCTTGAGTTCACTGGCTATGTGTTACTGGTCGGATATGCATTGGGCTCTATGGTGCAGAGTCTTGATGAGGGAATTCTTCTGGGTTGGATGGTGATGGGAATCCGGTTTCAGATAAGCATCCGTATGGGTAGCTTTCCTGTAGACAGAGTGGCTCATTGAACCATCAGGTCTCTTTTTTATTAGGACATCCAGAAAAAGGTAGCTTGCCATCTTTTTCGACTTTCATGGTAAATCTGATGGCTGGGTGTATGGAATTGATGTGGTCGAGGAATTGGTCTAGAGCAGGCTGGCCATGTGGCCAGATGACAAAAGTGTCATCCACGTACCTCTTCCATAAGGTTGGGCGCAGAGTGGCAGTCTGGATGGCGTCAATCTCAAATTTCTCCATGAAAATGTTGGCTGCAACCGGAGATGGGGGGAGCCCATTGGGGTGCCCTCAGTTTGTTTGTAGAAAGTTCCATTCCAAGTGAAGTATGTATTGGTTAAGCAGTGTCTCACCAGGGGGGGTACCTCAGTGTTTAGTCCTTGATGAACCAAGTCTTCAATGATTGCGATGGTGTCAGGTACAGGAACTTTGGTGAATAAGGAAACTACATCAAAACTGACAAACAGGTCGCCTGGGGACAGGGAAATACCCTTGATTGTCGATACCAGGTGAGTATAATTTTGTACCGCAGAGGTGAATTTTCCAGCGAAAGGCCGCAGGATTTCAGACAGAAAACGAGCCAGTTTGTAGGTGGGGCAGTTGATAGTAGAGACGATGGGACGAAGGGGTGTATCTACTTTATGTATTTTTGGTAAGCCATATAATCTTGGTGGCCTGGCAGCAGAAGGTTTGGTTTGATCAATTAATGCGGTTGAATTAGAAATGATTTTGTTGGTTTGTATGACGAGGCTGTTGGTGGGATCTCTTTTTATTTTTGTATAGCTGCCATCGTTGAGTAATTCTTGAATTTTATTGTTATATTCTATTTTATCCATGATGACAGTGGCATTGCCCTTGTCGGCTGAGAGGATGACAATGTCATCCCTCTTTTTTTTCAAATTTTCTTGCTGTGGTTTTCACACCTGATGATGACTGCTTGTGTTGCAGTCGAAACGTCGTGAGAATTTTATTGTTTTATATTTTTATTATTTTATTGTTCCCCTTCTACGTGACTTTACCGAAAGAACCAAGAAAATGAATCCCTGCAGTCACGAAAGCTTTAAATCAAAACTGTACTCGATTGTCCCAGATTTCAGAAGCTGAGCAGCGTTTGAGCCCGGGTAGTATTTGCATGGGCGACCATCAAGTATAAAATGTGTTAAAATTAAGTATTATTATGGATTGGTGTACCATGTACTCGCAACAGTACAAGTGCCTTATGAGCCAAGCCAAGCCTCGCACAAAGCTTGAAGCTAGAAATTCAGTCCTGGCCTCAACTGAGTCTCAAGACTTGTATGTTGAACTTTTTTCGCACTATACGTAGCCAACCGTGCTCATCAGAGGCGGGGGGGGGGGGGGTACAACAAATTAAAGACAGAAAGCAGTCCTAAAGAAATTAGTTCATTACTTAGTTGCCAGTCCTTATGTCTGGCCAATTCCGAATTGTTTTTTTCTCATTAACTCAGATAAGTCTCATGTATAGTTTAGTCTGGTGGAACTCCCTTGTATTGTTGTATCCGGTGTTCCTATGTGCCTCTATCCCTGGTTACCGACAACCATAATAATAATTAGCAGACACTCACCACTCAAGTTACTGCATTCTCCGGATTATAAGGTGCTCTGGAAAGTAAGACGCACGCCGAAACTTGCGCCCGGTGTCAATAAAGATTTACAAATCTGATCATCAATCACACACACAAATGAGATCTTCCATATAACCTTAACAGGCTGTTGTGGCAAGTGCTACAAGTATTAAGGCCGGCACGGCACAATGTGGGGTGGGTGGCCAGAACCACGATCCAGGTGCCTTTATCTCCACAGTGCTGATATTAACACAACGTGGGGTGGGTAAGACCACGATCCAGCCGCCTTTATCGCCAGTGCTGATATTAACACACCGGACCAGGTAGAATACTCATTTAAGGACCTGGGCCTTCCCTAAGTTGACCTAGAGAGGCCCAGAACCGGCTACTCGTGAGCATGAATTGGAGTATGTTATCTACACTGACAACCACAAAGATCCCCGATATAGCATTAATGGGCTGTCGGGGCAAGTGCTTCTAGCGAGTAGCACCTATGAAGAAAGGCCGGGACCCCACACGAGGAGGTGGGTGGCCAGCACCAAGCCCAGCTGCCTTTGTCTCTTGAGTGGCGATATTTACACACTACAACAGGTACTCATTTGAGGCTGGACGGGTTCGGATAATCGTCACTTGTGTTGGTGGCCGTGAATCGAACTCGGGTTGCCAGGTTTGTAGTGCAGCGCACTAACCATTATACTACTGCTCTCCACACTCACACTAGCATACACGAACATACACACATGCAAAACCAAACCAAATACCGCCCGTATAAACGCTGTGTCGTTATTACACTTCCAAGTTAACAGCCGGTCTGAGCGAACAATAAATGATGCACAGCAGGATGAGATGGAAACATTCGTCCTTGAAACTTCATTTGAATCTGCAAGAAAAATAATCATAATTTGAGAACGAAGTGCCGTTTTAAACAAAACTCGTGTTTTCTACCCGTGCTTGTTCCTTCGGAGTCAGTGCGGGCCTAGGAGAACATCCAACCTGCTGGTGACAAAACAAGCAATGCCTCCTCCACATATCTGTCTCTCCACATAAGAAGTAAATGTATTCGTGCACATCCTATCAGCCACACGGCCTTTCTGGGAGTGAGTATTATCAGCAGTGTTAGAATGGTTTCGACATTCAGTGAATATCTCATCAGTAGAGTTGGGCTGATTTGAACAAATGCTTGGAGAAATGGCAGGTGATTAAAGGCAAGGCCCCTCTTTATTAATTAGGGTCCTAGTTCGACGCCAAATTATACTATGAACAACACAAACTAATAATTTAAATGTCTGTGTGGAGTATGGTCATGGTTATTGTTATTACGTAAAGTAATTCCTCCAACGCGTTAAGCGAGGAATTACTCTCTACGCATTGCGGAGTAAAAATAAAAATAATACAAATTTTAATCAGATTTCAACAATAAAATCAGTCTGTCATCATCCCATGGTAGGGAAAACTCAGATGAGAGTATGTTGCCACGTACTGTATTCCTCATCCGTGCAGCTCAAGAAAGGATTTCGTCGTTGACCGCTGAGAAACCACATTATAACGGGGCATGTTCTGCGTTAAAATGGTGCTGTTCCGTGGTATAACGGGGCATGTTCTGCGTTAAAATGGTGCTGTTCCGTGGTATAACGGGGCATGTTCTGCGTTAAAATGGTGCTGTTCCGTGGTATGACGAGGCATGTTCTGCGTTAAAATGGTGCTGGTTCCGTGGTAAAACGGGGCATGTTCTGTGTTACAATGGTGCTGTTCCGTGGTATAACGGGGCATGTTCTGTGTTAAAATGGTGCTGTTCCGTGGTATAACGGGGCATGTTCTGTGTTAAAATGGTGCTGTTCCGTGGTATAACTGTGCGCATTCCACATTGTATGAAAAAAGTTTTAGAGTGAAAACGCCTTGGTGAACAGCACGTGTTAAATGCGAGGACCTACTGTATTCTGATGTGCAGATCCAAAACATACCATATTCTTAGGCTTCATAGATTGGAGGTTCTCTGCAATGATAAACAGGTGTGGCATTTTCACAAAGCCACCCGCGTCAAGATCACGACGACGCAAATACAGCCGAGCGCGCAACCGCGGCCAACCTAGCGCACATCCTAGCGAGTGGCTTTGCGTGGAATTCTATTTCCATGGCATCCCCTGTGTATGTCGCGTGGCATCGCAGCAGCATCGACAAGCCCCTAGGCCAGACTCTCTCAGTTCCATGCTTTGTCCTGGTTCGTGGTCACGATTACATTCAGGAATTAATTGTGGGCGCCATGGTGGCGAAATGTTAACTACCTTGCTTGGTATACAGGAGGTCGTGGGTTCGATTCTGACTCTGACACCCCCTGTATATTTGGAGTTGCATGTCTCCCTATGGTCGCGTGGATTTTTTCTGGGTTCTCCGGTTTTTCCTGCACGTTTAGAATCAACATCACGCGTTTAGAGTATTTGGCTGCTGTAAAATTCTACGTGATAAGTCACTTCATTGAGCTATCATTTGTGGCCAGGTCACTTCTGAAAAAGGACTATATAGGTCTGTGGGCCTTCCCTGGTAAAATAAAAATGGTTTAGTTTTAAATAATAGTTTCAGTTTAGATTATGTTTCTTTTTTTCTCGTTCGTACGGCTTCATTTGTGTCATTTGATATGGCTTGTTCTGTCTTGTCTGTCTTGTCACATTCATACCATTAACCTAAACGTAAGACTTGCATATAATTTGCATACAATGTAAACACATTATTTATACAGGCACGATCCTATGTACGTATTGCATGCCGTAGGGATGTGTTCCAGAATTTCAAATGAATCTAAAATATGTGAGAAGTGGGCCTAGATGTGAGATTTTTGGATGATCTGCAGGAAAATCCCGGTTTGGACTGAAATGAAAATGTGAGGTCACAAGTAGGCAGGATGTGACATCACTCCCATGCTCTTCCCATCACAAGTGATGCCATCTTAATGATACGCGACGTTACTTCTCAGATTATTTAGCTCATATTTAAATAACAGTTTTACCGATGGAATATAAATTTATTAATGTTTTAAATTATGTAAAAATAACGACATTTAGTGAATTTACAAAATGTGATTCATAATAGATATCGGCGAATTTATGTCGTGAGACCCTCCACCACCAGACGTCACGTGTTCAAGTGTTTAACGTTATGTGGCCTAATCTCAAAAATAACTTAGTAATCATAATATCAGGTGTGAAAACCCCCGTCTTTTTAAAACATAATAATTTGAAAAGAAGAAATAAAATCCGAAATTGGGCCTCAAAAAAATAAATTTTGGCAAAATTAATGGTGAAACTCATCCTTAGTGTGCGGTATCTTATCAGATGGCTTATCTACTGGCATAGACTAATAACGTAGTATCGTATAAAACGTACCTCCCACCTGTCTAAATATATCTGGGCCAATATGGCACCATCAATTGAATTTCTAGTGTCGTCATTGATATTGGTATTATCAGCTTTCTATTTTGCTTAAATGTAATCTATACTCGTGGGTGTAGTTTTATTTTATGTACAGCGCCTTGAGATATTTCCATATAAAAAGGCACTTTATAAAATTGAGGTTATTATTATGATTATCATCATTATTCTCACGTGTGTAAGTGGAGGGAAAGGCAGTGAGGGACAATAGCACAATGTGAACGCCTTAACGTACGATTCATGCGGAGCGGTTGAATTCTTCATTGGTATATCTTCCTCTTTATCGTCTTCCGTTTTACGTTGATCTCTGTTGAAACAAAGTGACATGTAAATAAGGGTATTTTTTAGAACGCTCACTTGCTTGGAAACAGTAACATAACTACGTATTTTTCTTGCATTCTTATCACTGCTGTGCTTTTTGATTTAAAGCTTTCTTGACTGCAGGGATTCATATTCTTGGTTCTTTCGGTAAAGTCACGTTATATATATTTTATTATTTTATTGTTTCCCTTCTACGTGACTTTACCGAAAGAACCAAGAATACTGCTGTGCTTGTTAAATCCAGCAAAACCTCACTGAATCTCAACTCCTTTTCACGAAACTACTATAAAGTTTTAGTTTTTTGCAGTAGGGAGGAAGCCAAAGAAGCCAGAGGAAAGCCATGCAGAACAGGTGGGGGAGGTGGGGGGGGGGCATAAAACAGTAGACAGGAAGGCGGCACCCGAGTTGGGAACCAAAACCAGGGGGCATCTGGTTGTGAAGCGCTACTGTCACCACTGCGCCACCACCCTGCCGCTGCCGATACATGCCAGGTGGCACGACGGTGGTACGGTGGAGAAGGGCGATGACAGGGACGCCGCGTCCTTAGGCCCAAGCCAGACACCGGATGTGGAGTGCGTGAACCTTTACCCTTTCGAAGCAAAGCAAAGCTTCTTGGTGAAGAAGAGGCCAAGCACCGTTGCGGTCGCGATCAGCACCGCCATCGAGACTGTCACTGCGATGATGATGGTGGTTGTTTTGTCCTCTGCAGAAAGAAAAAAATCATCATTTTGGAAGGTAATTTGTTTTAAATCATGGAAGCTGAGCACAGAACCAAAGACTAAAAATTGTAAGCGGGTGAGCAACAAACAGCACTATTGAAGGTGTGATCAATAAAGAGTTAATATGCTTCCTTGAAGTCGAACGGGGTTATTTTACTTTGGAGAGAGCTGTTCAGCGCAACCGTGAAAACCTACGCGTCAATAAAACGTTTCCGTAACCATGGCCCACAAGGCCAGAGGTTCCTGGAGGCGCGGGGCAATTACCCCTTATTGTACGGTTGCTGATGCAGATGCAGAGCAACAACTACACTGTCACATTCAGGTGGTCAAGCCAGATAACAGCATCAGGAACAGAGAAGTATATCATCGCTGTGATGTCTCCTTCATATTTGTCGATCTGGGCGATTTTATACGTTGTATGGTCTGTTTGTTCTGGATGGACCACGGTCGGCACACTACTGGAGAGTTTTTTTTTTAATTTCCCATTTGCGCAATCAGCTATCCGCATCTACTGCCATGGCTTGTGCAGTGGATCCGATTTAGGATTGGACCCCAGTTGTTCCGAGTGGCAACTGCCTACAGGGGCCGCAGCCGCTGGCGCTGCCGATGGGAGCAGGCGCGAGACGCAGCACCTGGCGGCATCCCCTTGCTGCTTCGTGCCGTCACCGTGAGGCCGGCAGCGGAGAGCGCCTTGGACTGTCAAAGAGTGAAAGGCCGCCACGAGTGTGCATGGCGCTTTCTTCTGCGACAAGCACCGCAGGTAAAGTGTTCAAGGGTAAATAAAGGCGCAGCCCTGCAATTGGCCACTCGCATCACTGCGAGCAGAAGACCCCCTCAGTAGAGGGAGATGTAAAGGGCTCCCCCCTAGAGGGTATTTTGGCCTGCTGGTTCACACTGGTCAGGAGTGCCCACACTTTACCTCACCGCACATGATCTACTCATCTATTTAACTGCGTGGAGCATGATTATGGTACGGTTTGGCTGCGTACAGTGTGAAATAAGTTAAACGCACTTATACTACACTATACACTACACTACTACACACCACTACTATACACGACAGTATACACGATTTCCTATATACCAAGCGAGGTAGTCAACATCTTGCCACCGTGGCGCCCAAAATTGATTCCTGAATGGAATCATGACCACGAACTGGGACAAAGCGTGGAACCTGGGGGCTTGTTGATGCCGCTGCGATGCCAAGCGACACACACAAGGGATGGCAGGAAAATAGAAAGCTAATTTCTTTCTGCTGGTGGAATTGGTGCACTCTGAAGTACAACGTCCAGTGCGCCAACCACCACGACCCCATTGGCTGCATCCCCATTACCTCGAACGTCCAGGAACAGCTTTGCCTCCAGCTGCCCTCCGGGCACGGCGGCCACGAAGTTCGTGAGAGCGACGCATGAATATTCCGCCATCTGGGAGCGTCCAATGTCATCTAAAGCCATCTTGTCTCCGATCACTCCGTCCAGTATCTGGGTGCCATTCTAGAGGGAGAGATCAAACGAGTCGTGCACCATGGTGTCCTCCACGCACTCAAGACGTAGGGCCCCTTGTAATACAGTTTTATAATAATTTAACCTTATGGCGGTACCCCGGGGTGCCATAGTACCCCGGCTCTCGCACAATGTCCGTGATGCAGTCATTTTTAGTCTGTTGATGATCGGCGATGCGGCAATCGACTCATCTCGACGAGCTGTACACACGATGCACTATGGTGCGTACGACCGTTCAGGGTTTCGACGCAATTTTCCTCGCTGCGTTTCGACATCGCGGAGTTGCACCGATTCCGGATTGATTGGTACCCCAGTCGCGGAGTTAAGTACACCCCTGGAAAAAATAGTGTCCCAGAAATAAAATATTTAATTGCCTCGACCATTTTTTATTATCATTTAGTACCCCGGGGTACCGCCATGAGGCTCAATTGTCTTGGTAAGAGCCGCCCTCCTTTACACCAGGGAGTCTCTGAGCGCTTCACACATGGTAAGCGACTTACACATCTCATCTCAACACTTTTGTGTTGGGCGCCATGGTGGCGAGATGTTAACTACCTCGCCAGGAGGTCGTGGGTTTGATTCCGACCCTGACGCCTGCTCTATATATGAAGTTTGTATGTCTCTCTCTCTCTCCCCCGTGGTTGTGTGGATTTTTCTCCGAGTCCTCCGGTTTTTCTCCTGCACATTTAGAATCAATGCGCGTCCAAAGTATTTGGCTGCGATACATTTACACGTGATGATAAGCCACTTTTTTGTGGCCAAGTCTCTTCTGAAAAACGAGCTATACAGTTTAGTGGGCATGACCTCGTAAAATAAATATAAATGGTGTATGTAACATATTCATGATAAAGAACAAGAGAGAGAGTCTCTGAGCGGCCCGAGTGTAGTGATCATGGTTGTTGCTGTCTGGTACCAACCCGCCCTCCCCCCCCACCAACGCACGTTGTAGAAGGCGAAGGTCGAGGGCGGGTTGGCGTCCGCCACGCATCTCAGGACGACATCATCGCCCTCCGTCACGTGCGTGGCCCCCTTGGGTTCCCAGATGACGAGCTCTACGCGCTCCGCAGGGTCTAGGGGGGAGGCCGTGGGGGGGGGAGTGCAGTGAAGGGGGGGCGGTGCAGGGCTCCTGGTTAAACAGCGGTCACGGTGGGCACGTGGGCAGGGCACGGCACCACCCGGCCACGGCACTGCGGTTTCGCGTTCAGTGGCCGCAAGAGGAAAATGAGTGCTGCTGCTGGGGGATGGGGGGTTGGGATTAGTCCCCACCCCCCATCCCCTGAAGATTGGTCATGGCTATTTACTTAGGGCGCTGCGGTAACGAGATGTTAACTGCCTCGAATGGTATGCAGGAGGTCTTGGGTTCGATCCAGACCCTGACGCCGGTTGTATATTTGGAGTTTACAGTGTCTCTCTTTCTCCCCGTGGACTGTGCATAGTGTATAGGTAGCCACTTCGATTCGACCTCCCGGTGTGGCAGTTGAAATGGTGGCAAATGCTTCATCAAATCTCCCCCCTGCGCCTCTGTCCATCCCAGCGGTGCAAATAGATACACGGCGCACTGGATTGGCAAGGTTGTGTGCGGTGCGACAAAGGGTGGGAAACTCCCGCCTCTTTCAACTCATCTGGCCTTCTACCTTTGCATGTTCCTCCCCGTGGTGGCATGGTTTTCCCCTCCACATTTAGAAACAACATACATTTAGAGTATTTGGCTGCTATACATTTTCACGTGATAAGCCACTTCGTTGAGCTATCCTCTGTGGCCAGGTCGCTTCTGAAAAATAGCTATATAGCTCAGTGGGGTTACCTGGTAAAATAGAATAAAAATAGAGCTCCCCCTCGCACAGAGCCTTCCGCCACGATTGCAGTGCTGCACCTTTACCCAGAGGGGCACAGGTCATACGAAACTCGTCATCAATTTTGCAAGGGGCTCGCCCGCGCCGGTTTGCTCAGCACAAGAGATAGCTCTTATTCAAATAAGTGTTGTGACGGACAAACTGATGGAAGTAACGTGAGGTTTCAGATTGCGTACACGAGGCTGCTGAGTGTGATTTTCTCCCATGCTTTCAGATGCACTTCTGCGGCCGTCTGGAACGCTCTTCTGATATTAGAAAGCAACAGGGAGCTATGCACTTTTAAATCATCTAGATTGAGTAACTAATTTCGTTAGAACTGCCTTTGGTGTTTAGTTTGTTGTCCCTCCCGCATACCTCCGATTAGCACGTTTGGCTACGCACGGTGCGAAATAAGTTCAACATACAGTACATACATGGGTAGCTGACCCGACACAACAATGGGGATTTTGGCTTCGACGAGGTAAGTGTAAAAATCTTAATGTACGTCTACGGGTCTCTATGTCTGTATTAGGTTGACTGTATCTGAGCAGAAGAAGTTTAAAAAAATTAAATTATATGCGTCTCTGATTGTGGATCATGTACGTCTGTTGATCTATGGATATCTGAGTCTATGAATCATGTAAGTCTACGGATCCCTATGTAAGTCTAAGGATCACGTTAGTCTATGGATGGTGTAAGTCTATGGATCTATATGTAAGTCTATTGATATTTAAGTCTATGGATCATGTAGGTCTATGAATCTCTATGTAGGTCTATGGGTCTCTATGTAAGACTGTGGATCTCTAAATGTATGGATCTCTGTAAGTATATGGATCTCTACCTAAGTCTATGGACCTCAATGTAAGTCTTTGTGAGGCTGTTGGTCTCTTCGTAAGTTCAGTGGACATAACTCAAGAAGAGGCATGGAATAGAAGTTCATGGAGGAATGAACTCTGAGCGGTCGCCCCCGGGCAATATGAGGAAAGAAGGGAAGTGTTTGTGTACGCACAGTGAACTATGATGTTGATTCTTTGCGAATCCATGGTTTGTATCAGTCCGGGCATCTTGTAGCTGATGCGGCAGTGGTACGTGGCGTCTCTGTCCGCTTTCTGGGGTTTGTAGTTGAGGGAGGAGCGCACCGTAATGAAGCCCATCTCGTCATACTCCACGACGGAACGCTGATGCAACTCTGCATCGCAGCAGACGGTCATCCAGAGTGAAACATGAACACAACAAGCAAGATCATCGTCATCAGCCATGGTCAGTCCACTGCTAGATGAAGGCCTCCCCAAGCCACCGCCACTTCTACGATGTAATCACCCTGCGCACGATCTGATTCCGTTGCTCCATCTGCTAGATCAGAATGAGAATATATTTTTATATTGGAGGAATCTGTTGAGCTATAAATATATTTTTCATAGATGTCTCGCACACCCTCCATTCCTTGCTTGGCTGCCATTCCATTATTATTCATCCTGCACCTCCGATTAGCACAGATGGCCATGTATGGTGCGAAAGAAGTCCAACATGCATACATACATGTGAGTTAAGGTCAGGGATTTATATATATTTTCAGTCATTGTTGAATAAACTGAAAAAACGATTTTCGAGTATGCTTCGAGTAACATACCTGGATCAAATGGGGTGGTATTTTTGTACCAAGTAATATTTGGCAGTGGAAAAACTTTCTCTGTAACACAAATTCCGATCTGTAAAAGACAAAAAATGAGTGGATCATCAACATTTATTTCTTTATATCGCACCTCACACAAGCAGTCCTAGAGTTTACTTAGTGACACGCTGATTTTGTCTAGCTTTTATTAGTACACTTACAGTGCAAGGAAACGCTGGTAAAGTAACTCAGTATGGTGTCACGGTGTTATTGACTCGAAATACCTGAGATCATTGTGGACAGTCCTCGACTTACGTTCCTGTGACCGGTTCAAAAGTCGATGTGTTCATATCTTGGAACTCAATATTATATTGTACAAACGGTCAGTGCTATAAAATGTGTTATTGTTCAACAAAAAAGGGATGCATTGTTAAACGCATGAATGAGAAGAAATATTGTACATTTGCATGTAATAGTGCAATATATACAGTAAAGTAAATAAAACATAAAATAAACTATCATGAAAAGAAAAAAAATCTGTTTTTGTTTTGCTTATCTTGAGCCCTGATGCTGGCTTGTCGGAAGGGGTGGGATGCTGGACCTCATTACGTCTCACGGAGGATCGCTCCGCCAAACAAAATAGTTCTGTGGTTCGGTTCATAAGTATGGATGGTTGAACATAATAACATATGATGGTGGTTCATTCGTGAGTGTGGGTGTTCGTAAGTCAGACATTCGTATCTCGGGAACTGTCTGTTACAGAGTTAAACTAAAACTATTTTTTATTTTACCAGATAAGCCCCACTGAGCTGTATAGCTCTTTTTCAGACGCGAACTGGCAATGACAAATGATAGCTTAACGAAGTGGCTTACCTTGTGGATATTTATAGCAGTCAAATACTCTTAAGGCATGTTTCTACATGTGGAGGGAAAAACCGTCAACAATGTGCAATTGGACGGCCCGTCGGTCAACACAGATTACACGGCATGGATAGACGCACTCCTGGCACAGAACACAGATCTGTCGGCAAGGGAAGTGGGGGAGCTCAGGACTTTGTTGAGTGACTTTGCAGACGTGTTCAGTCAGGGTCCCGACGATGTTGGTCGCACGACGCTGATGGAGCACCACATTGAAACGGGCGATGCACCACCCATTCGGCAGAACTCCTATAGGATGGGTCCGAGGGAGAAGGAGCATGTGCAGCAGGCAGTGCAGGAGATGATGGAGTCAGACATCATCTCACCATCGACGAGTCCGTGGGGGGCGCCGGTTGTATTGGTTAAGAAATCGGATGGATCCTTGCGTTTTTGCGTGGACTTCAGGCGGCCGAATAAAGTTACCTTGGCGGACGCCTACCCGCTCCCGCGCATAGACGACTCATTAGATGCCCTCGCAGGAGCAAAAGTTTTCTCCACACTAGACCTTTTGCCAGGATTCTGGCAGCTACCACTAGATGCCGAATCCAGACCAAAAACGGCTTTCAGAACGCCTCAAGGTGTCTTTCAATTCAACTGTTTGCCGATGGGTTTACAGACGGCTCCCGCCACTTTCCAGCGATTGATGGAGCTGGTGCTCGCAGGATTGCAGTGAGACCGACGTGTTCTTGACACTGCGCCAGCGGTTGACAGAAGCGCCGCCTCTGGCATACCCTGATTTTTCGATTCCCTTCCTGCTGGACATGGATGCGGGCGACGTGGGCATCGGGGTCGTTCTCTCCCAGATTCAGGAGGGGAGAGAGGTTGTCATTGCCTACAGAAGTCGCGTCTTGTCGCAGGCCGAGCAGCGGTATTGCGTCACGTGCCGCGAGCTGCTTGCCGTCGTCCACTTTGTGCAGCAGTTTTGGCCCTACCTGTACGGCCGCTAATTTACTGTTCGGACGGATCATGCGACATTGCAGTACTCGCTCCGCATTGACTAAGCGACCAGTCAGATGGCCCGATGGTTGGAGCGGCTGCAGGAGTACACATATTGGGTGGTGCATCGGAAAGGTGTCAGGCATACGAACGCCAATGCTTTGTCCAGACTGGCAGCCCCCGTTAAGTGCGCTTGTGGCGACGGATCCACGCACTGTAGACCGCCGGCTGCGGCGCAACCCGAGATCATGGCGCCGGTTTCTGCCGGGGACACGGACCGGGTAGGGCCGCCGGTATCACTTGATAGAGACTTAGGGCTCACCCTGCGGGAATGGAAGGATCGGCAACAGGCAGACGCGTTTTTGACACCGTCTCGCCGGCTGGCGGAGATGGCACGCGCTGACGATCTCCCCAAGTCAGGGAAGTTTTTCCTCATGTGGGAAGGGTTGTTGATGTGCTGGGACATGACTGTGAACCGAAAAGTTCTGGTGGTGCCCTCTTCCCTGCGGGGTCAGCTATGCTCCGATGTTCACGTCCGACAGTTGCTCCATCTAGGTAGCCGTAAGACCAAGGCTGCACTACGCCTTCGCTATTTTTGGCCAGGCATGTCCACCAATATCCGCCGTCGGGTAGCGGCGTGCGCGGACTGTGCGCGCAGGAAGCCCCCGCCGGTCGTGCAAACCACTCCCCTGCAGTCCATTAAAGTTTCCCGGGTAAACGAGCTCGTGGGCTTCGATATCTTGGGCCCCTTCCCCGCCACCCCTCGAGGGTGTAGATATCTACTGGTGGGGATGGAGTACTTTACACGATGGCCCTTTGCCTGCCCATTGCCCGACCAGACGGCAGGCATCCATAGCGGACGCCTTTGTAAATGGCTATGTCGCTGACAAGGGGGCTCCGGAGTGGCTGCTGACGGACCAGGGCAGAAACTTTTCCTTCAAACTGTTGCAGGAGGTGTGTGACATGCTGGGTGTCAAAAAGGTGCGGACGTCCCCTTACCACCCACAAATGGACGGGATGGTGGAACGCTTTAACCGCACCATCTCGGGGATGCTGTGTCACTTGGTCAATGACCAGCAGACAGACTGAGATTTGCACATCCCTGGGGTTTTGACGGCCTATCGCTTGGCTTCGCATGCATCAACGGGATACTCACCATTTTTCTTGATGTATGGACGCAAGCCGAGCCCTCCAATTGAGGCACAGTTGCGCCCTGTCTCGTTGCGTGCGAGAGATTGGCCAGCCGCGTTCCGCCACTCGCTCAAGTATTTGCGCGAGGCTCGCAAGTCGGCCTCGGCAGCATCCGCGTCTGCGCAAGCTACGAACGAGCGCTTGCGGGCTAAGCCGCCAGTCGTGGATCCCTTTGCAGTGGGTGACCTGGCTTGACTGCACTGCATGCATGTACCCTTGCAGACGTCAGCGAAGCTGCACCGGCCCTGGCAGGGCCTGGTCACAGTGCTGCAGGTATTGCTACCTCAGTCTGTTCACATTCAGATGGGAAAGCGTAGGTGGTACATTCACTCTTCGAGGCTAAAACGATATGTCGCGGCCGAGCCGCCCCTACCAACATCGTTACCTTCACCACCTTCATCGTCAGTTCAGCCGGGTGGGAAGAGGCTGTCACACTCACGGCCTACTACGCGACCGACTGATAATGCAAACACTGTCCATCCTGCAGGACTACAGGTGACCAGAACGCCAGCACTGGACCCATCGCCATCCAGGGCTGAAGACGCAGCCACAGCAGAGGACTTGGCCACAGGACGGGGCCCCTTAACCCGCTCACGCTCATGCCGCCTTGTCGCAGCTGTGGACACGAACATCCCAGAAACCCTGTTGTGTTCGGTCGAGGGATTGGATCGTGGGGGAAGTCGGGGACAGAGGCGGCACTCTTGTTTACAAGGAGACGGAGGGGAATTGTGTTGTGTTACTTTTGCTTTATTGCACTAAAAATGTTTTTGGTCATTTCAATTACATGTGCCCGGTCGCAGTTGGCTTTGAACGGCCGAGGCATACATTGTTCAGCCGAGGACGGTTTGGTCTCAAGGAAGAGGGGGGGTGACGTAAGGGATCTGCGAGCCACCCTCACTCACACGCACCACGCAGACACGACATCTCCGCTCTCACTATAACACGCACCAATGACACGTGCGTGAATGCGCGGAACGGGGGTCAGGGGTCAAAGGGCATTGACGTCATCCGGACCAGGCGCGCCCGCCATGGATGTGTATTGGGAGCGGGGTTAAAAGGGGCTGTGGGACGTGTGTTCGGGGTTGGTCTTGGAACGAGTGTTGCTGTACGTTGGAGAAATAAAGAAGTGTTGAACCATTCTCCGACGCCTCTTCAATTGTATGAAATCTCACCTCAACGGTATCTTTGTTTGCTTGAACAGGTTCATGCTTTCCAATTATCTGTACTTGTGGTGGCGCTGAAATAAGTAAACATCAAAAAAACATAAAAAAGGTAAAAATTTCCAAAAGCAGTTGGTGGTATACACGATAATACAGCCACATTTTCAGCTCTCTGTTGAGTCGCTGGTCCAGACAAGGCTGAGAACATTGTACATGGTGGTCACATGACATGCACGCAAGGCATGATGGGAGTCGTGACTTCCTCCTATTTGTGAGCAGCACACCTGTGTGTTTGTGTCCAGCAATGATTGACGACCAGAACATTTTGGTTTCATTGTTTATCACAATATTGTTCGTCTTATCAACTCCTATTTGCATCTTTGCAAGTTTCATTTTTTTACCAAATTTTCAACGGGCAAATCCAAGCTTTCATTGGTTTCAAACTGTTGTTGTTGGAACGATGAAGCTGGTAGACGTGGATCATGATAATATCACCATCTCATCTTTTTGATTGCATTTTGTAAAAAAAATACACAAATATCGCATGATAGTGTTTAAAAGGAATAAATATATTACAGTTTGAACTTACAATATTGCTTAAGTTTGAATTGTTGTGATATTTCCGTCACCTCCGATTAGCATGATTGGCTACGTACGGTGCGAAAGAAGTTCTACATACATAAAACATGGCCATAAAATGGCTATATATATAAAACTCTTATCTGTTAACCTATTTTCTACAATTATAATTATGCACACGTTTTTCGCAGACTCGATGAATTGAGAAGCGAAGGACAGCTTATTTGCAAGTTTCCCTTATAAATAAGTGGAGACAACTCAGGAATAATCGTGATCCAACGTCACCACGGATAAGTGGAGCTCTGCAGCATTAAAAGCTTATAACAAGTGACACGTGGTTGTTGCAGAGGAGATCCTAGCAGATTAGTTAGAAATGCAATGGAGGAAATAGGATCAGCTGGTAAGACACGGTGTGTAATCCAGCAGTGGTGAAGGTGCGATATTGAGGTGGACAGCTGAAGGGTCCCTATTGTGGAGAACATCATAGCAGATGCGGTGGTGTAGGTGCGACTTTGAGGTGTACAAGAAAAAGTGTTATAGTTAGGACTTTACAGCAAACGTTGACTCTTGTCTTGGCTTCTCCCGCTCCCTCCACCCCAGCCGACACGGTGCAGATAAAGTAACCCGAGTCGCTGGGGATGGTGTTGTTAATCACCAGAGTGAACTCGTCCTGAATGGAGATGCGGTCCCCGAATTTTGACTCATCGACTTGCTCGATTCGACCCTGCTTGTAAAGGATTCTCTTTCGAGTATTTGCTATAGGCTGCACGCGCAGAAAGTATAATATGAAGTACATACGTTAGCCAAGGAATGTTACACGTCTGAGGAGATGGGAGCGATGAAATCAGTTCATAATATATTTTTTTGGGTTAGATCGCGTATATATAAATGTGTCATTAAACCCGCCACCACTCGACACAGCCAATTAGTAAAATTTGTCACGTAAACAAAACGTGCCAACAGTTACTACTTCAGCACACCGGTGTGTTGGAGAAAAAACCCACAGCATTTACAATTCGATTACCATGACATAACCAGCTTCATCAGGTGATTTATCAGAATTGTGAAGAAGTCTTCCTGTTTCGTTCTTAAATATTGACTCTATTTACTTCATATTCTTGGTTCTTTCGGTAAAGTCACGTAGAAGGGAAACAGTAAAATAATAAAAGTATAAAACAATGAAATTCTCACGAGGTTTCGACTGCAACACAAGCAATGATCAGCGGGTGTGAAAACTACAGCAAGAACATTTTCTTGCTGTGGTTTTATATTTTAAATATTTTATTGTTTCCCTTCTACGTAACTTTACCGAAAGAACCAAAAATATGAACCCCTGCAATCAAGAAAACTTTAAATCAAAATCTATTTACTTTGTTATGCCTGGTGGATTATTACATCACAGGATCGTGATAGGTGGCGGTGGCTTTAATGAAGGGCTTCATCCAGCAGTGGATTGATGACGGCTGATAATGAAGATCACATAATTGATGAACCATGTATTACATACCATGAAGAGTACATAGTTTACAAATACATATTTTTTAAAAGTGCGCAATACTCACAATCAACCATGACAGATGGGGGTCGTTGGAATCTACACGTGAAATTCCACGTTCCCAGCTGCATTTTACTTCTAAAGATTCCCCGACCTCAATATCCACAGTTGCTGGAGTGGTGGTCACCACGATGCTGCCCGCGACACCTGCTGGGACATACGAACCCAACGACCGATTACTGGGCTAAACACTGCAACTGGCGCACGGTACAAATTAACAGCTCACAGAAATCAGCTCTGGGGAACAGAGTTTGTACGTTGCCTCTGGGTTGTCCGATTTTTTTTCACAGCTAAAAAACACACACGTGTAGATAGCATGCACCGGGGCATCATCACCATCATCATCAGGGGTGCATTTACGTTATTTTACTGAAAACGTTCTTGACAGCTGAGACGGTTGATTTTGTTGCCAACAGGCCATTTGTTTGCTCCCAAAGTAGTTTAATAAAGACTTGCTTGTATGACGTTGAAAATCTTTCGCACCGTACGTTGCCAACCATACTCATTGGAGGTGCAGGAGAAGGACAACACGACTATCACCAGTGCAATCACCTGAGAATATATATATAGTGCGGTGCCGAGGAGGAACAAAAATAGACAACGGACGTGACTGGTATGAGCCAAGCATACTCATGCTGAAAATGTACACCTGCAAACTACTCAATTGGGATTACATTGCAGCTGCGTAACACCCCCCCTCCCCCGACTACGAAAACTTGGCAGTACCCTCCTCGTTACCATGATCTGAATGTATAAACTGCAATTTGTCTCACTGGGAAATTATTCATCCATTACGATGTAGTAATACTATACACTACGCTTGCAATGTGTACAAATATCCGGCCTGAAGGGGTAATCGCGGTTATGGGTATATTACGTAATGCTTCATTATGAAGGGGGTGTAACTGGGGTAAAGGTGAAAGGCAGAGTCAGTCGAAGCTCCGGTAACCTGCTTGAAGGTTCTGGAAGGGGGCGTGGCCGGAGGCGGGACTTGGCCACGCTGGGGCACCGAACCAGAGAGGTTCGGTGCTCTTGCGGGTCCTGGGTCCTGGCAGCATCGCTGCTCGCCGTCATCTCTCTTCATCGTCCGATCACGCGGCCAAACTTCTGCAAGGCTCTCATCGTCGCTGCGCTAGTGGGACAGCTGCGTAGTTTGACGCCGACGATGGGGTTGTGTGATAGAGTCGGCTATGTGTAGCTGCGTTACATACATGTATCGCCCAGTGTGTTCCTAATAAATAAGAAGCCAGTTTAACACGTAGGCTTTCGCGACCAATATTATTCATAATAAAGGTTTTTGGGTTAGATCGCGTTATTTATAAATGTGTCGTAACCCTCCACCACCCGACATGGCCAAACAGTAAAAAATGTGTCACGTTTACAAAGGACAAATAGTTCACTACTTTAGCCCACCGGTGTGTTGAAGAGTGAATCAACATCATTTAAAATCAGTTAATGATTACCAATCGATTATATACTTACAATACCCCCACCCCCGCCTAAAATCGCTGCACCTAAATACGTTAAATGATGACATTACCCTGCTGCTCTATTTAAGACCGGGAGAAAGTGAGGGCTTTACCATTCTGGCGAATTGCCCGATGAAGCTGGATGTAATTATCAGCGAAACGTCGTACTCAAATTTTCGATGATGTTGATTCACTCTTCAACACACCGGTGGGCTCAGGTAGTGAACTATTTGTCCTTTGTAAACGTGACACATGTTTTACTGTTTGGCCTAGTCGGGTGGTGGAGGGTTACGACACATTTATAAATAACGCGATCTAACCCAAAAACCTTTATTATGAAATAAGAAGCCGTCTACACAACGTGTCTCGGAAGCCGCTGACTGCACATGTTAAGTTCTTAAAGTGCCCTCTTCAATTGATAATCGCTCAGACCAAACTCGCAGCAGATACACGGATTTTACAGTGAGGCGATGAGTTAAATGCATTTGATGTGGGTTCCTTTCAAGGCAAAACACTGCATTTATAATTATCTTCAAAGATAAGGTCACAGTTTAGCCATTGGTTGTAAATGTTCGCGATTTTACTTTTGTTTAGAGTTCAGGAGATGAGGAAGCACGACTCAAAGGTTTATGGCAGCAGCCATTTTGTACAGAGGGAGTGGTGGCGGCCATTTTGTTGTGTCTGTCCATTGGATGAGGGTGCAGAATTCACGCGTAATTAGGAAATACGGTTTTGGGGTTTGAATAGAAATATCGTGATCACCACTTTAATCGTGCTAAAAGAGGAATGTAAATTTACTTTCATGATTTTTTTTGTGAACAATTTTGCCAAACAACATTCGCGTTAACTGTACAATTGCATAGTTATGGTAACATCCACAGCCAGAGTTCCAGAGGGAATATAAAGGAACACATTTATTACTGTACCAGACAAATTATTTTAGATATCTACCCCCACCAAGTACTTCACACCTACACTCCACCCACTTAACTGACACACACATTCCGACCTTCACACTCGACTTTACCCACCCACGAACACCTTGGCACACACCTCGCATCGCGACCTTTACCCTCCTGTCCTGTGCACAAAACACACACACTCCACCGTTGCTCAATCTCCCACTACCGTGCTTAAACTCTGTCGCTCCTCCTGCTCACCACCCTCTACTTGCGACATCGTTTGTGCGTAACATTTGGGGAAAGAAAAGTTGCTTGACCACACTTTCAAAGAATCCGGGCTTGTTATTTGTTCAAAATAACCAAATTGTGCATAAAAAGCTCCCACAAGCAGATGCACCCGTAAAACACGCACGCACACAAACAAATAAAGACATGCACTCACGCTAGAAATGGACTAATACATGCAGACCCACATTTTGTCTCCACAAGGCATGCATTAACTCAAATTCACATTCAATTATGCACACGCACACACACAGCAGTGGTTTGCATCCTAACTTGGCTGGGTCGTGTGGCACGGTCCCTCACCCTGTTGTGCAGAGACGCAAACCCGGAATCTGTATACAATTAAACTATCTAACATTTTTACCAGGTAAGACCCCACTAAACTATACAGCTCTTTTTCAGAAGCGACCTGGCCACAAATGATAGCTCAACGAAATGGCTTATCATGTGGATATATATAGCAGCCAAATCATTCTGAATGCGCGATATTGATTCTAAATGTGGAGGGAAAAACCGGAGGACCCGGATAAAAATCCACGCCCACCATGGGGAGAACATGCAAACTCAAAATATAAAGCAGGCGTCAGGGTCAGGTCTGAACCCATGACCTCCTGTATACCAGGCGAGGTAGTAAACATCTCGTCACCGCGGCATATAGAGCTCTTTGTGGGTAGTGATGTTCACTGTCCATACATAAACATTTACTTGGCTGGACATGTTTCGGAAGCGGTAAAGTACTCAGGCTTCGAGGAAAGATGCAGCATGCAAGTTAACGTCAAACTGATCTCCCGCTCACTTGAGCATGGGGCAGAATCATTTCCAGTTTGGTCTTCAGCCAGTGGTGGAAATTCCAAATTCCCATTCCAAGGCGAGTCTATAGGTCTGCTACTTTCGACTTCCCCACCAACCCAAGTGGTAAAAAGCGTGGAATACTAAGCCAAAATACCATCTACAGGGCCTCCAGAGCTTGCTAAAGTTCCTGCTGCCAGCAGTGGCGTGTGCTTTCGGATGCGCTTTTGCAGTCGTCTTGAACGCTCTTCCTTCCGATATTATGAAGCCACTGGGAACTATGCACTTCTAAATCATCATCTAGATTGACAACACATTTCTTCTCTGTGCAGGTGGCTGAGAAGTTACAGCGCCAGTTGCTAAAGGGCAAACAGTGGCGATTTCGAATCCCAGTTGAGGGTCAACCCAACGATTCGACACTTCAGGACAATACACTGCATGTGCAGGAAGCGAATGGTGCTTTTCCTATGGTTAAGACTCAGCACTGCCATAGGAAGATGGAATTCCCACCACCGCCTAAAGCAGGGGTCGGGAACCTATGGCTCGCGAGCCAGATGTGGCTCTTTTGATGATTGCATATGGCTCGCAGATAAAATAAAATATTCTCACTTGTTTTAATCCATCCATCGATTTTTCACTGCGCATGTCCTGTTCAGGGCTGCAGGAGCAATTGTCCATTATTTTAATTGGATGATACTGGCCTACGTTTGCCGTTGCTGGGTAAAACAGGTAAACGCCCCCTTTTGAATCAGTCTGAGACTGCGTCTGCTCGGTCATTAGCTCAAAGCTAACCCTTCGACGAAGAAGATGGCGAAAAGAAAAAAAGACGACGAGTATCGTACATTTCAGGACGAATGGACCGAAGAATTCGCCTTTGTGGAGAGAGCGGGTTCTGCGGTGTGTCTAATTTGCAATGACAAAATGACATCGTTGAAACGGTCGAATGTAAAGCGGCACTTCGACACGCGCCACGCTACCTTTGCATCAAAATACCCTGCGGGAGACAGCAGAAAGAAAGCGTGCCAAGAGCTTCTGAGCAGGGTGCAAGCTAGCCAGCAGCAACTCCGCGTATGGACCCGGCAAGGTGACTATAATTCGGCTAGCTTTGCTGGTTCTTTAGCAATAGTGAGGAACGGAAAACCATTCACAGATGGCGAGTATGCTAAAACGTTCATGCTGGATGTAGCCAATGAACTTTTTGATGATCTTCCGAACAAAGACAAGATAATCAAACGGATACAAGACATGCCTCTGTCGGCAAGAACTGTTCATGATCGTACCATCGTGATGGCAAACAAAGTGGAGGAAACGCAAGTGAAGGACATAAATGCAGCGCCGTTCTTTTCTCTGGCTTTGGATGAGTCAACAGACGTGAGCCATTTGTCGCAGTTCAGCGTGATTGCAAGATATGCTGTTGGTGACACACTGCGCGAAGAAAGTCTTGCTGTTCTGCCATTAAAAGGGTCCACAAGAGGTGAGGATTTCGATTTAAAGCTTTCGTGACTGCAATGATTCATCTTCTTTGGTTCTTTCGGTAAAGTCACGTAGAATGAGAATAAAATAATAAATTGATAAAATAAAATAACACAATAATATTCTCACGACGTTTCGGCCACAACACAAGCGGCCTTCATCAGGTGAAGGGAGCGAGACTGTCTGGTAGGACAGCGCTGGAGTGAGAGAGCCACGTTCAGATCACGGC